CTCATTGCCATGCGGAATTCGAAGCACGGATCTCGCGGGGACTCGAGTTCGAATCTGCATGCAGACTGTCTCTTTGCACGATGTGTTAGCAGTGTGACCCCGGCTTTAAGTCGCACTGGCAATACGTCGTACAAAAGACAGTCTGCAGATACTGTCTGTAACGTGTTTCTTTCTTGTACGATGGTCATCTGCAGCGAACAAAGTGTCATTTATGTGATGTATATGAGCAGTGTGACTTGGGACTTCAAACTGTCTATAACTTCGTATCGTCTTACGATAAACCGGAGAGGACGCTTAACGAGCCATCAAAACCAGTCCGATGTCGTACGAATGTCGCGTGATGTTCGGGTTGGGACGCAGCTCACGTGATGTTTTCACAGCGCTGGATTGGCTGGGGTAAGTGGTATGCGCAGCGCGAGTTCGTCTGCTTCTTTTGCAGGCGTTGTGCTAACGTCAGAAAGATGCCGAGCTCTGATTGGCTCTGATTGAAGGATAGTGGGGAGACCTCAAAGCAAGCTGCCTTGAAGTCTACCCGCCATCCCTCCATCAGAGCCAATCACAGCTCGGTGTCGTTCTGACGTCACAAGAAGCGGACGAACTTGCGCTCCGCATTGGCTTGCCACTTCGGAACCACTTGGCAACATTCGAAGACGCGTTCCTACATTTCGTTTCACCTTGCGTCCGGAAAACCAGACTTGGGAAGTAGTGCGCTACTCTGGCGGAGGTAGACGCCGCTACTGAGCATGCGCACCGCTAGCTTTGTCTGCAGGATTCCAGGGATCATTTTCGGTCGCCGTAAGCTAGCGGGATGGCGGGTGTGGCTTGTCAGACTACAGGTGAACGAAGTGCACCTACATTCTTTCTCTTAAATACTATACTGTATTTTTTTTTTACAAAGACTACCATACTGCGGGCGTACGAGAAATGAAAATTAGTGTTGCCGCGCATTTTTGGAAACATCAAAATTGTTTTTGTTTTTTTTAATAAGTGTGAGGGAGCAGTGAAGTGAAAGTAATTTGTAACGTAACGAGTAAAATAATCCGTTACTTTTCAGCGAAAGTAATTTGTAACGGTAATCCCTTACATTTAGGCTCAATCATTTGTAATCGTGATCTATTACATTTTTCATGTAACGGGTACAAGTCTGGTCCGGACGCAGCCGACACTAATACCGCGTTTACCCTGCAGAAGCGTATCCGCAACCGCGAAGCGGATCCGCGCGTTCTCAACCGCAAAGCGGCTGGGATCGAGCGGTCGGGGCCCGTTTTTGCCAACCGCTTCGAGACCGATTTCTCTCAACCGCTTTCGGCAACCGCGAAGCGGTAACCAATCGTGACGTCGGTTACTTTCGAAACAAGATAATATCAGTCGCTTGTAAGGCGTCCCGTGGCAGTAGTCCTAGTGTTGCAGCAGACAAATCAACGAAGAAACCTGATGTTCGCGCCCGTCACTTGAATGCGCCGCGAAAATAACTGACTCGTAATTTTAACGGGTTTCGCTCCGGTGCTATTAGGGAGTTTTCGTAGATCGTTTTCGCCGCCCCGCAAGGCCCTCCGCAACCCGCTACGATAGCGGGAACTCCACAGTCAAGGCTATCGGCGCGCAGGCGCAGTAGCAACTTCTTCGTTGCGGAATGCTTAGCGGAGGAGGCAGCGCGGTCTACGAAAACTCCCTATTGTTCGGGTAAGCTAGCGTGTTTATTATTGGGGGTTTCAAAGCTCGTCGCTGCGCTGTCTTGTTAGTCTTTGCCCGTAGAACACCAGAGCCAGCCCCCGATCGACCGATATGACAGCTTTGGTACCCACTAAGGCAGTCACGTGAATTACTGAAAGCTTTTGACACTGCGTATGACCAACAGAAGGCCGATAGAGACGTCGTGAGCCTTACCGCATAGCCAACGCACTACCGCGAAGCTGTCAGGGTACCTGCGCTAGCTCGCCCCGTAACGTCTCTACTACCGAAAGGAATAAAGGGAAGCTATTCAAGAAATAAAGTGCACGTACCAGACGATGCACAGGTAGTCGAAACGGTATTTATTTTAGCTTAATATGTCAAACAAATAGCAGACTCGTTCGACGAAGACACGACCGGCTAGCACTGAACACATTCCCCGGCCTACGGTGCGCTAGTGCCGCTCACTACTTTGAGAATGATAAGAAACAACAACAGGGGGGAAAGGGGGGGGGGGGGGGGGGGAGGCTGGACTTTGATTTTGAAAACAAGGTCAGCTATTCATGCGGGAAGGATCCACCTCGAAGAAAGGGTCGGGGGCCTCCTCCTCTGAGTCACCAGGGCGCTCCTAGCCGAGCTTTGCTTGTTTGCGAATTCGTGGGAAACGCAAGCGGGTTTTGTGTGTCCATGTCTCTTTTTTCGCTGCCTGAAGTCGTGATGCGTGAGAACATCCTGAAGAAAAACCTTTAGTATCAATATTCTACACGTTGGCTTTCGATCGTGGATTAAACTGAATTTTAAATTGTAAAACAAGGTTGCCAAAAGCAAGTCTCAAGAGATCAAGCGTGATCGCCAAGAAAACGCCAACCGCGTCTTGGAGTGCCTGAACGGGACTTGTCGCGAACCGCATCCGCAAACGCTTCGCCATTGCAGCTCTATTAACAGCCAGTGTGAATGCGCTATAAGAGATGAGACCAATCGGTAAGAGCGTCAAAAACGCACCAACATGGTGCTCGTCGTGTTTCTGTGCGTGTTCTATCATCGCTGAACTAATCATCTGCAGGGAAGGCCCAGCGACATGCGCTTCCGACACCGCTTGATTGATTCCATCAGCTCACACCATCGGCCTGCCTCCGTAGCTTATATACTTAATTTGAAACGATGTATAAGGTTGTCTGAAACTTCCTAGCACTTTAGTGTATATTTTTCTATTGCCGCCGCGACTGTTTTTGTAAGGTGGTCGAGGACCATGTCAAGCTGATTTACTAGCTTTTTTATTCGGCGTGCCCCCCTTTTTTGTTGAATGAGAAAATAAACTATTTGATATTTAAGTATAGGGTGTCCCAAAAAACAAGGCTCGATCTAAAATGGACTGTAAACGGACAAAAGTAAGAATATTGAAGCATGTACGCTGTGCTCGGAGGCGAGTATTTTATGGTGTGCTGCAATCCTTATGTCGGGTGTTTGGAGATCGAATCGGTATTTGTCAAATGTTCGAACGCCGATTAAAAAAATCAAACCTACCGGAGCACCTACGGCTGAGCTGGCAAGCTTGCTCTCGTAGTGGAGTAAATAAAGGAACTTGACGTCAGTAACACCGTCCTCGAAGAAGCCCAGAACTTGATGAATAACAAAGAAGTTCCATCTCGACAGCGGATTTCCGGGAGTGAGTCGATTCCGCGTAGCAAAGCGTTCGAGCTTGTCGTCTGCTAAACCCAACTCAACAAAATCGGCACCGACTCCGCGGTAACTCTAGGTAACTCTCGCCTTGCACTACAGCGGAGCCACTCTCGACCACAAAATATATATTTATAAGAACTGCGAGGGTTGCCAGCTTTAATGTTTGTACGCAGGCTATTTGACGGGCTTATCGAAAAGCACCCAAAAAGTTTCAGTGCCAACAACAGCTTAGAAACTGGGGAAGCGGCACTTTTTCTCCTTTTTCCCATAGAGTCCCATGCATTGGCTGGTGTCAATCAATGGCCACCGGTGGCGACACTCGGCCCCAGCTGCCGAGGCCGCGGTCCGCGATCCAGGCTACTACAATAGAGATCAGTGAGCTCAGCCCCCGAAACAAGTTTGCATGTATCGTCAGCAAAGACAAACTTCCTAGACAGCATACAAGCTGCACAACAGGCACATAAGAAAACTATACTGCAATATATAACGTTCAGCCTTTTTACTCTGATGAAGAAGGAAGAGGCAGCGGAGGCTGCTGCTGCGTACGTCGCCGCTTCTTCCACACCCGGTCTTCTTTCCCCGAAAGGGCACGCGGCCGACCCATCCTGAGTCCAAACCGAAACTGATAAGAGCCTAGGGAACAGCGCGCAAAACAGACGAGGACGAAGAAGAAACAGACGTGACAAGCGCTGCGCTTTTTTTTTATTTTTTTTATTTGATGTAGAAAAAGGAAATCAGAGATGAGCTCGTCACGTCTGTTTCTTCTTTGTCCTCGTCTGTTTTTCGCGCCGCTTCCTTCCCTGAATTCTCACTAACGCGCCCAACTATTCCTTCTTCTATGATAGCTGGAAAGGTTACCGCCGGCTATGAGTGACGGCGGCAACGACACTGGTTGTCTGATCGCCGCCGTCGCTTATAGATGGCGGTAGCTGTCCAGAGGTTTGTGTATATATACCTATAGGTTTGTGCCGACATTTCTTTGGTACCGGACACAATCCTGGGAAACCTAGCCCTTAACAGCTCCGCTGTAAAAAAACGCCAAATATATAGAAAAGAATCGACAACATTGCCATTGTTTGTCCCAGGCCGTGTGCCAACAGACAACATGTCTTGACGATGTCTGTCTTCGTTGGCTGCCGGCCCTCTCACTTCCAGCTTTATGGTGTTTCGATAGATCGATCTCATCAGCTAGTTTGAGCGTACTAATGGTGTCACCATATGCGTGGTGGGAACTGTAGTCTTTAGTGATGGCGGCGCCGCGCATGCGTGGAAGGCTCAATGAGAGCGGTCAATATCATCGTGCTTATAAACACACGCCCTACCACTCAGCACACCTTACGAGATGGACCACATCGGACCGATAAGAGCCATTCCATCCAACCAAACACTGAGAAAGTATCACGTGACTTTACACGTACTCGCGTGACGAGCTCACGTGACACTGACACGTTATTTGATGCTATTAAATGATTCGTAGCGTCCTCCGGGTTTCATTATAATGTAAAACGGAGTGTAGGGGATATGGCTGGCCGTTTTTGTTGTCGGGCAAACACTTCAACAACCAAAAAGAAAGCGAATTCAATGTTTTTTTTTCCAACGGCCGACTTTAGCCGGAGGAAGATTAAGTAAACAAAGGCCAAGAAAGTTCACGTTCTGCCGAGTGTTTATTTAGGAAGCATTCGGCCACCCCATTTGGCGAAGGAAACGAAAACAGCAATACCTTTGAGAGCCTGGTGGTAGGTGTATACACACCACGCTGCGTCGATCCGCTCGCATAGACGGCTAAGAAGAGAGAGAGAAAGAGGTGGTGCAAAAACCTGCCTCTTTCAACGGGAGTGTTTTGTGCAGAGTTTGTGGACGGAGTCAGTCGTGTTGTGGTCTAGGTTTGCTTTTGGGGGCGCTAGACTACGTTTTAGTCTGGCTTTGTTCCGAGAAGATTCGACCTAAATTAAATGTCAATGTCCACCGAGCGTTATGGTGCTTTGTGTGAAAGAGAACATATGTGCATCAGTTTCACGAGATATATTGATATCACATCGTAGATGTGATGCCGACAAAGAATGTTTTTTTCCCGGCTGCGATAACGCGATATTCTAATTTACATCTGTTGTGAAGACACCTGTTATTCTCCCCTCTTTTGGGGAGCCCAATGAGTGAGGTAGACGGCATCGACTTTCATTTCAACCAGAAAGTGTAAATTCCCCCCCCCCCCCCCCCCCCCCAACAACAACAACAAAAAAGTATACATACGAAGAGGTCACACTCGGATGCCGTTAGCAATGCGCACATACCAACGTTGTTGTAATTCCTCCAGAATTTTGTCAACAACCGGTGTCACCAAATTCCGCTTCGTGAGCAAGCGTTTTGTTTTAGTCTGGCCACAACAAAGTGCGAACGAATTCTCAGTACCAAAAGATCCGGGTCATTGGACTTCAAAACATGCCTCAGAATTACGTCCGAAACAACATTTCATATGCTCGGCTGTCAGTGTTTATGGGAGGTAATTAGCAACAGATTCGCAGCAGACCTCGGGCACTTCTCCCGGTGTGGTCAGAAACGTGAGTTGTCTTCTACCCGATCAATGCTTATATGTTCTCTTTCACACTAAAGACAATCAATGCTAAGTGCGAAGGGTGGTGCCAAAACCTGAATAGTCATATCCCATCACTAAAGAGATACTTGTCCTAAGGTGCGTAAATGATCAAGACATGCTCTCAACTCCAATATAGTATTTTTATATCTAAAATTGGTTTCTAATGTTTTCTTTTTGGCCCTTCCATGAAACATGTGTGTGGTGCAAGTGTTTTTGCCCGTTCATGTCGAACTCTACGAGGTGGAAAAATTAATACTTCTAAGATACGCTATTCGCGAAACATTTGTCTACCATAGTAGAGATGTTGCCTGTTTTGACAACTCGTGTAAGATCGGTAAACAAAAAAAAAAATTACAGACGCCGTATAAACAGAAGGACAAGTAAGTTTCAAGACTGCCCGCCTCGCCACAAATTACAATTGCAAAAGACGCCATCTGGTCTACAGAAAAATACAACGTAATGTAATGACCCCTCACCACGAGAAAACGAGAACCCCTTCACCACCGGAACATCGCGTAAATGCTTCATCTAATACACTTGTTGCTTTTAAACACAAGAATGTCCAGCACCTTGTGCTAGCAAAACGCGCCAGTATAATATACGTAACACTGCAGTAACGGGAGTCCTTTGTGCGCTATGAGCCTACACCTGCTAGTAAAGATGTATCAAATCTAACTAGATTTGTTCTTTCCATGTGCTTGGTAGAATGCGTGAGAGGTAGGATGTCCAAACCAATAATTTCATTCTAAACGTAGGTGGAAGAAACATACTGTATGTGCTCTTTTTCAAGATTTCTATGCGGGCTGGACCTTTGTAGATGTTGAAAATTTCCAAATTGAGCCACATTGCAACTGTTTTCGTCGGCTTAAATAGTTAATGATCGTTTGAATCAGTTTTAAGTACACAGACATCCACTTGCCAAAGCTTTTTTTTTTAAATAATTGTCTCGTTTGCTTTGCACGTCCCCCTGCTATTTGTGCCGTTTTCGCAAAAAAGAGGCTTTTGCGTTACATTGCATTCAATGTGTGAAATTGAGTGTTGATTCCTTACACTACTCCAGCCCTGCACATATGGTGCTTGGAAAAGAGCCTAGTCTGAATTTCCGCTGGGAAAAGAGGTTAACTGGTTACATAAGTAGGCTTAGAGTGCACCAAGGAACTCTGCGATGTGACATCAAACTAAAACCACTTGCATCGTAAGGGACGCCGAGAAAACGATCGCGCGTAATGTCGAAAGTGGAGAAGAAGGTTGTAGCAGCGGTCGGTCCCGCCCAGGAAACAGCACTGGATGGTTTGAGAAGACGATCCTGCCGAGGTTGACCCTGTCCGAAGTGTCCACGTCCATAAGGGCATGACGGAGGATGGAAGTCTAGAAGTCGGAAACACCATTGTCCGACACCAGTTTCTGGATAAGTAGTACGCACGTTGGATTGTTCGAGACGTTGAAGACCTAAGTGAGAACCTTGCCCATCCACAGTTCGATGAGTGCTGTTGCTTGCGGAGCACAGAAGAGGACGCGTAGACTTCGCTGTGCGTTCAAAAGAAAGTCCTCAGGCACAGGACAATGCCGGCAGAGACTTACTCAAAGTTTCGCATACAATTTACGTTCATTGTCCTCATCAAGAAGTCAGGGTATATCTGAGTTACCGTACTCAATTTTGAATGGAAATAAATAGGGCTTAAAAAAAGCAGAATTTGTGATGACATGACAGTCTGCAATCAATCCTGTTAAAGCCAATGTTTCCAAAACGGATTAAGCTCCTTGATTTTGATCGTGTCACGTATACGTATCCATAAGAAACAACGTGCTGTGCTGTGTCTTCAGAAGTCACCGACACTTGGATGTGACTTTACGAGGCGCTCAGTAAGGGGCTGATGATGGGAAGTCCGTGGATCCTTCGATACTGTTGTCGTAACAGATGGGTTCGTCCTTAGTGCTGTCTTTGCGCCTGCGAAGGGCGAACACAAGACACGTGCTGAAGCCGAACACCTCCAGGAACAACGCCAGACCTCCGATGACGGCCGATGTGGTCGGTTCGAAGCAGACCACACCCAGCTGCTCGGCTATGAGGTCCTCCATGCTGGACGTTTTCCCTGCACAATTTAAAAAAGAAAGTGAACGCAAAAAAAAAAGAAAAACTGTTCTTGATTGCACTTTCAATATTGCTATACTCTAATTAGCATGGTCCAAAGGAAGCGAGTCCTTTGTGCACAGAGTCCGCCTTCTCAATCATCCCCTTATGAAACCGAGACGACAAGAAAGGTGACAAACAACAGAACCCGTGCATAGATGATGTGGAAGGGCGCAACCACGAAGGCTCTGTTCAATAACACAGGCTCTGCTATGGGTATTTTCCCAGGAAACGTTGACTATACCAATCTGGTATTGACAAAAGGCTTTCTTAATTATCAGTGAATTCATGCTATAACAAACTGTCTTTACCTATGGTATTATCGTTTAGTAGTAAAACTACCGACTATATATGTATATACAAGGTGTTTAATTTCAATTTGAATAGATTGTCGGTGAGTTGTACAATTAGGGGGACACAATATAGGGGCTAATCGCCATGACTAATTGGATAATTAACTAAAATTTGTTAAATGACGTTTTAATTAGCGAAAATAAACACATGGTGGCAATTGGAAAATTGCTAAGCGTAATAAAAACCAATAAATCTGCCAATTAAAAAAAAAAAAGATTTGAAGCGCGGGGGGAGCGCTGAAGTTTACTCTCGTGCAACAGGCGCAAGGGTGGGGATCAGTAAACGGGGTTGATAATATTTTCATTCGTGTTTTCGGACCGCCAATCTACCTTCCACTGCTTTTTTTCTACTAAATGCGTTCTAATTAAAATCAAACAGCCTACATACTATAACCCGGGTCATGTTTATCATCTTATGTGGTCTCTAAAGAAGAAATAATTAAAATATGCAGATGAATGAGCCGTAATGATCATGTTAAATAAATGCTACGAAGCAGCCAAAATACTATAGCTCTTGGGCTGCGTTGACCTGTCGTTGTAGAAGAAACTTTGCGTTTTTTTCTCTCTCTCAGAAACAGAACAACATCTAAGGCCAATATCTAAAATAACAATTGCAAAGGAAATATCTTTAGGCTAGGTGCAGGCGTCGATGTTTAGAGCTCACTTTACACCGGTCGAAATGTTTAGGTTGTGCAATATAAAGTGAAGCTTCCAAATGTACAATTAGGTGCTTTGAATCAAGGCCGTTCACATCGGAATCATCAAAGTGACAAAGATGCGAATCCAAATGTGATGTCAAAGTCAACAAGTACAGCAGATATTTTTGAACCGATCATTAGATGCGTCGTTTTACACGCATACCAACTAACACAGAAAGGGTGAACCCTGAATTTCGTTTTTTCAAATCCCGGAGCGTGCGAAGAAAGCGCGTGCACCATGAACAGCTTCATGAAGCACTTTGTCATCTACACGACGCATAAATCATGCATGCTCTCATTAATAAATATTTCTTATTCAACAACTTCCGGTCATACACCCTGAAACAAAACGACAGGCGCCTGTTTCCCAAAAGCCACAAATTAAACGCGACGAACAAACGGCAGTTCCGGCTTGGAGCGAGAAGGACAATTCATACTTCCTGTAGAATTCTGCTTTTGGCTTTAACCGACTTTTCTTTCGCGTAGATAAGTGCTGTCATGTCGCCTACCCCCTTCAAAAACAAACCCGAAAGTGCCAAGAACGGAAGTAAGTAAACTTTTGATCATTTCTGAGTAGACACTCTTATTACCCGACAGCTGCTCGCAAACTTTCAGACTGGTCGGCCTTCGTCCCATCCTAGTAAATCAAAACGCGTCAAGAAACCACTCCTCGCCAAGACCGGAAGTCTACGGTCTACTTTTCCTTCCCTTTACGGCCACCCAGGGGAGCTAAAAGACGAATCCGCTCAAAGAGTCCTCTTTTCCTTTTCCTCCTTTCGGAGATCCTCACCGACAAGCATATAAGCACTGCTCCGAAAATCGCCAGCGGCTTCTGTTTATTCGGGGCAGAGTCTATGCACACTTACAGCAGGAGGGGCGCACCCTGCGGACTTGACCGTATACGAATTCAGTCGCAGGAATCCCCATAAGGGCAGTCCCCATACTCCCCGGCACGGAGCGTCACCACCAACTGACGCCGCCGCTCCGGAAGACAGGCTTCGATCAGAGGAACCATTTCGGAGAGACCCGCTGAGACCAGCGAATCGTTATTCGAAGACTCCATCCGTTTTTACTGCCCGCCGGACCCGCTTCTTTCTGCCATCGGCCATCCAGGAGAGCGAACGGTCATCAAATCGAGACCTTCGCTCAAGTGCCGTCCCGTTCTTCTTCTTGCACTTTTTTCTAATGGCATCCAATGTCGGAATCGTGTCTCCTCTACTTCAAACGAGACCCGAGCTACATATCTCGGATGTCGTGCACGTCTCAAGAGGATGCAAATTCTGCCGTGCGTGTGCCCATACACTGTGGATATTCCTTTGTGTTGCGGCATATCGCAGCTGTTCAGAAGGTCGCAGTCGCGGCCGATGGATGGAATATCAAAAGCCGCCTCGGGGAAATCGAAACTATCATGCAGGTCGATGTCGCGGGCTCTTCTTCTCGAGTGCAAAAGAGCATCAAGAAAAAGCAGAGGTTGCCGAGGAAAAAAACAGAGGTCCACTAAATAAAACCAAGCGGTTCTTCGGAGCACGGTTTTACGGCTCCGTGACGGCAGTCTTGCCATGGAAAGACACTAGCAACAATATACAATAGAATGGCGAAGGACTAAAGGAGAGGGGAGGCCTATCGACTGGAAACAAAAGAAGACGACACAACTCTGAAGGGCCTTTTCGTGTAACGACGAGTACGCCGTACAGAAAATATATGCTCAAAATAGAACGAGGAAAAATAGATCCTCGGTTTACTAGGAGATGTCTTGGTAATAACTGATTATTAGACAAAATATTCAGAGGGACCTTTAAGGTTCTGGCAATCGTCCGTTCAAAGAACGCATCAGTAACTAAATTATAACTACCCCACTCCCCCCCCCCCCCCCCAAAAAAAAAAAAAAAGTTTTTACGGAGTAGTTTAGACGCATTGATCGTTTTACTAATTTTGTACCAGAACGTTTGTTTTTAGAAAGGGCACGGTTATAGACTTCTGCATGTTTGTATGTAGTGCGTGTGTGTTGATTCAATTTAACTATAGACGATTGCAAGCTGGGCGACTGGCCGCCGCCATGTCTCTGCTCGAGCAGGCACGCCCGTGCAATTACGAGCTCGTCAAAGCTTCGTTCACCCGCGCCTTGCACGCGCTTGCACGCATGGGGCACCACTTGTGGCGCCATGCTTGCAATTGTCTATATGGTATAAAATCAATAGAATAACCTTAGATCATTAAAAGCAGAGTTATGGATGTGCGCGATATTTGACCAGTTCAACATGAAGCCTGTCGTGTGGCTAAAACGTTAGTTTGTTTAAACGCCTCGGTTTAGCTGAAAGTTCCTGTTTCGCTGAAAGTTTTTGTTTTACTCAAAACTTCACTTGAGCTGAGTGTCTCAGTTTGGATTCAAACATCAAACAGCTTGAGATGAACATTTAGTCGTAATAGCTATTTCCGTCAAAGTTAATCTGCTTGATTCAGACTTCAGCCGAACTGAGCTACACTACCTCCCATAGCATGGGGTCAATAAACAGGTGATTTATTAATGGTATGACCAATCCCACGAAACAAGAAAAAGCTATAAATATAATGCACACATGGCACAGAGTAGACTGACTTACTGCGGAAAGTGACGCTAGTACACGCAGGAATGTCACTCGAGGCTGGCGATCAATTGGTTTCTCTCAAAAACAATTTCTACTGTGAAAGCGAAAGCCCCAATTGTTTCATGGAGTGTTGTCTGTAACCGTCTGTAGCAGAAAAACGGCACCCAAAAGTGAAATTTCCATTGTCTGCGACGCGTCATATCAGATGCTTCGTCACAGAAGCCGGTCGGGCGTTTAAGGTCAAAGCGGACGCGCCTCAGAAATAAAACACGAAGAAAAGCACAGCAACGCAGATGCATCGTCACAGAAGCCGTGGAGCCGGAGGGAGCGTCATGTCACCGCCGGCGCGCCGTGCGAAAAAGAAAAACGTGGCGCGCTGCTTCTAGAAATGCGCTGCCGAGTAGGAATGCTTTCGCATTCCTACACGTAAGCAGTCTTAGGCGTCTCTGGCAAATTTTTTTCATTGTTTTCGAAGTGAAGCAGTCAATTTCGGGCTTTTCCATTGTTAGAAGATGAACGAGCTTCTTGGGATAGCCTAAGCATCAGGGCGAGTTTCTTAATGTTTTTTCTCCTTCTTAGACAATTTGTGTCGCTACTTTAACGTACAAGGGTTCCCGTTACAACATCGAGGCTCAGGTGCAGCTGAGGTACACCCGAAAGCTTGTGGGAGCCGGGGGTGAAAGACGAGGCAGAGGGCACGTGACAGGCGGCCGGCGGAGAAGGCACGAGCTGGGCGAGACATTGCGAGCTGAGCGAGGCTGGAAGCTGGACAAGAACGACGGAGCCGGGGCTGCCTAGCCTGGCCCATAACGAACCCCGGAGCGGTCCACCAGCAAGGTCTGGAGCAAGACCCTTGGAAACGGCAAGCCCGGGCCATATGACCTGGGCTATGACGATCCCGGGGTGGTTCAGCAGCGAGACTCGGGCATTGATAGCCCGGGACAGCCAGCCTACGCAGCGCTGGCGTGGAAAAGGCGATCCGCAGGCCTGGACACGGACCCCGACTGTGAGCTCTGATCGACGGGCGACAACAAGGGTCGGCGGGCCGGGACTACCGGCTCTCGACGACGGGCAACCGGGAGGTACAGTAAACCCATTCGCTGTCTTCTCGTTGCAGTGTGTATCTCCCTGGGTGACGGGCGGAGCGCATACCGATAGGGCAGGATTATTAGTACAGAGGGACCTCCCCCACAAGGAAACCCACATTAAAATGGCGCCCAACGTGGGGCCCGTTCGGTACGCCTCTGCTTCTAGTCGTCCCCAGAGAGTCCCATGGATTCGTTGAGCGGGTTGTTCACTAACGCTAACGATGCCCGTTGAGACAAAGTATGTTGGAATTATGGTGACTTGTCTCAAAGCAGAGCTCAGCAGGTGTCTCCTCGAATCGAGTACTTAAAGGTCTCGAAGGACGAGGTTGCGGACGCGCGTTCTCGGGTACCCCAGAATAGTGGTTGGCAGGAGGTGACCCAACCGGGGGGAACACGAGGAGCGCGGTTAAGATGTAAGAAAGTCGTCTTCGGAGGCAGAGGAGAGCCACGGCATGTTCGCTGGAAGGCAGGATAGCGACTGGCAGGAGGGAACACAGCCAGGACTTATTCCATATTTAGGATTTAGGCTTGGAGTGATGCGGTAGGCAAGCAAGCGCTTGTCTAGGCCCGGGGTGCAGATGGGGTTTTCTCAGTGGGTGTCGGAAAGATTGCGGGAATTGCAGTCGACACCGGGAACACTGGCGGTCGAGATTGTCAGCGGGTGTTGGGTAAACTGACGTAAATCGCAGTTGACACCGGGAACGCTGGCAGGCGAGTTAAGGAGCAGTATGATTCGTAACCGCTGGGCCAAGACGGCTAGTTGCTTCGCGTCACTCCAACAACCGACGAAGGGCAGAGGGACGACTCTCCCTTGAGGGGGGTCGTTCCGAGAAAGCTACGAAATGTTTTATAGGATAATTTCTCGACTTCACTCTGGCCGGTCGTGGCAGTGACAGCAAGACTTTTAATAAGTTATGTCGCGTCATGACCTGGCCGGGGATGAGGCGGTAGACATTTAGGTGGCTTGTAGTTGTCCAGCTTGCCTTGAGGCGTGAACGGTTTAAGCGGGCTTGCTCGCTGAGCTACCGCCCCCTCCGAGGACCGAGCAGTCCCTAGAGCTCGTATGCACGTGGACGGAATGGGACGCTGACGTTTACATCGAGTAGCACATGGTATATGTAGCCGTTGCGGAATTGCGGGTATGGTATTTGGTCATCCCGCCACAGGCTTTGGATCCCTTCGCTTGCGCAAAAGATGGACTAGGTTTACGCCATCGTTACCTGTTCTGAAGGAAACTCACGCTTTGAGCAACGCAGCTAGTGGTTTTGCCGCATCGCTTGCTCCGAGGTGAGAAGGGCACCCGAGGTAAAAAGACGCGAGCGTCGTGTCTTACGTCTAGGCTTACTCGGCGAGATACAAACGAGGAGGCTTGCCCGGTTCACATCGCTGACTTGAAAGGATACTACTGTTGTCGCGATGGGGAACACGTGTAACATGAGGTTGCGGTAGGACACAAGAAATCCCCTGTTCTTGGCGACCCAGGAGCGAGCTCTGGAATGCAGACTTGCTGAGTTTGCCGCATGGTACATGAACCCGTCGGCAAGCTATGTGGCGGAAGAGGCTATGGCCACTGCCACAATCTGCGACAGAGTATTTGTTCGCTGTGTGTTGTTTTAACAGTTTGTTCTGCGCAGAATAGCTTCTTGGAAAGACGGCCGTATACAGACGGCGTAACCCAGGAAGCCCACCGGGAGGGAAGACGGGACCATTTGTTTTCTTAAGTGCTCAGGGTGGCTGACAGTTGTTCGGCCTGACGAACGGTTCAGGCGGGCAGTTCTAAGCCCGCTTTGACCTCTAAGCGGAACGGGGCAAGTCCGTCTGCGTCGGCCGGACCAGCTTAGAGCAAGCCCCCTGCTGCATCGCGGTGAGTGGGACAGCGAGCGACAGACAGGTCGGCATTGTCTGCCGGCTTCGCTAGCCACCACCACCTACGCCGCTTTCGGACGCTGCAACGTGGCCACTCCGGCAACAGCAACCGCGGCCGCCCATGAAACCCAGCGGCTCCCTGAGGCCCATGAAGTCCCCCGAAGTCCGGGCCTTGAGGGGGGGAGAGTGTGGGAGCCGGGGGTGAAAGACGAGGCAGAGGGCACGTGACAGGCGGCCGGCGGAGAAGGCACGAGCTGGGCGAGACATTGCGAGCTGAGCGAGGCTGGAAGCTGGACAAGAACGACGGAGCCGGGGCTGCCTAGCCTGGCCCATAACGAACCCCGGAGCGGTCCACCAGCAAGGTCTGGAGCAAGACCCTTGGAAACGGCAAGCCCGGGCCATATGACCTGGGCTATGACGATCCCGGGGTGGTTCAGCAGCGAGACTCGGGCATTGATAGCCCGGGACAGCCAGCCTACGCAGCGCTGGCGTGGAAAAGGCGATCCGCAGGCCTGGACACGGACCCCGACTGTGAGCTCTGATCGACGGGCGACAACAAGGGTCGGCGGGCCGGGACTACCGGCTCTCGACGACGGGCAACCGGGAGGTACAGTAAACCCATTCGCTGTCTTCTCGTTGCAGTGTGTAACTCCAAGGGTGACGGGCGGAACGCATACCGATCGGGCGGGATTATTAGTAGTGCACCTCCGTAAAAGAAACCCCACAAGCTACACATTTGCCTTTGAGGTCAGGTACCCACAAGGTGCATTTTTCAGCCTGCCCTCTACATTCCGCTTCAGCATAACTGGACAAAGGGCGAGAGCTGAGGCCGCCGAGAGCCAATTGAAGCGACATCGCTCCGCAGAGGAGGGACTGCGCACATCCACCGTAGGTTGTTCAAGGCCCCTAGCTCCCACACTTTCATTGGCTCGCCGTGACTGCGGTGTTCAATCTTTGTCAAGATACAATAAGATAAGGTACAGCATAGACAATTCGAGTTACAAAATAGTCACGCAAAAAGAGCTAGAAAGTTCGACACTTCACCTTCTACTCTATATAAAAAAAACTTTTGGATTCGTTCTTTGTTTTTGTTTTTGTTCTTATTTAGACCTCTGCTTGCAAAGCATTCACTCAACTATTCTATAATGTAAACCGTTCACAGCCTCCGACGCTGCATTTTTGAAACATACAAAAGCTTTCTGAATGCAGAAAGCCAAATAACAAATCGGGAGCATATATATTTTTTGTTTTGTTTTTGTTTGAGTAAGCCACGGGTAAGGAAACTTCATACCGGACGTTGTCGGTGCTGTTACCGGAAAGGCGTAGCTGATGTCCTGCGTCTGCCTGCCCACCCCGAACTCGTTGGCCACGATGGACACCTTCTTGGACAGCGTGGTTCTGGTCAGCTCTTCCTCTTCGGACAAGTGGTCGTCGTCCGCGCTCCTCCGGCGTCGCCCGAACGACGTCACCGTCTCGATGTCGTCCTCCCGCCGTCCGGTCGGAATCTGGCACAGCACCTGCGAGACAGTCGGAAGATTGTGGTGAAAATATTGCATTGAGGTTTCACAAAACACCATTCCACTTCCGACGAGCCGCCTGATGTCATACACAATGCTGCAGCGAGCAATTTTTCATGTTTATTTGTGCGTAAGCGATTCTTCTTTAGGGTCGTTTTTTACAGCGGAGCTGTTAAGGTCTAGTTTCCCCAGGATCGTGTCCGCCGGATTAGAAATGATGACACCGAACTCTGGACACCTACCGCCATCTATGAGCGACGGTGGCAATCAGACAGCTGGTTGCCGCCGTTGCTTATAGATGGCACTGGAGCAACCTTACTTCGGAGGAAGAAGAGCGGGAGCGGAACGAGCGGCGATGTGCGCAGCAGCGCGAATGATTCCGCAACCGCCGCGAAGCCGCTATTGCCTAAAGTTCCACTGCGCCAAGCGCTTAAGATTCCCTTGCGAAAGAAGGGCAGATCGCTCGCCTGGAAAGCGACCGCCGTGAACAGAAGGTACAGCTTTGCTGCTCTTCCTTCATCACCAGAATGGAAAAGCTGAAAGTTTCTTTTTTTTTTTTTTTATGTTCCCAGATCTCAGAAACACGGCAGTAGGTGGCTGCGCCGCGGTAACCTTCAAAAATTACGCAGTCGCGAACATAGTTGAGTCTCGAAAACTGTGTCTTCAGACCTATTTCGCTTCTTTTTTAGTAGGGTGGAGCACGAGCTCGGAGGATCGGTGGCCGAGTGGGCTAGCGCACACCAGCTCGGAGGACGTGGAGCGAAATCTCGTGCTGTAGAACCCAAGGTTCCAGGGTTTGATCCCCTCTCCTGCCCGTTTCGATCCGGATGAGCATCGTGCCGGCGTGCATTCCTGTATCACTACTGAGTGATGCACATTAAAGACCCCAGGCTAGCGGTTGTACTGCACTGACTAAACTTCTCATCTACAGCTGGGAGACGCGTCGCCCGTTGGGGCAGAGCAAGTTCTTGGCTGCATTAACTTACACACAACTCAATGTTTTTTTTTTTCGAATGGGCGGGCAAAGTAGGTTAAACGCGCCCCAGTGATACACTCGTGACGTAGTAACCGTCTCCCACTGTAACGTGTATTAGCAGTCTGAACGCAGCTTTACGCGAGCTCTATACTTTTTTTTTAGTTTGAAATGCAAAAAAAAAAAAAAAAAAAAAACTTGTATATATATATATATATATATAACCTTTTACCACTCGGGATTGACGCTAAAGAATGCAAAACGAGCCCCAATGCTAAAGAACTGACTGGATAAATGTCCGTAGACTCGGTCAATATGACCGTTTAATCACAATAGCACGCCTGTAAGCAGACCTAAAGACAGGCGCAAAGGAAATCCAAACCATAAAAGAAAAACGCAGACAAACTTACTTAAAACTTAGAAAGAAAAAAAGAAAGAAAAGAAAGAGAAACGCAATCATTTTAAACACGCCTGCATGTGATGTTCCTCCTGCGGACCTCCTGCCAGAACGGCTCTCTTATTTTGAAATGGGCGCAAGGAACATTTTCTTCAACGTCTGCTACCCTCCCCTTTGCGCATAGCGATCATTTTTTGAGGCCTACAGAACAAAGCCGAACACATGAACAAGTCCGAAGAATAACACACACAAAAAAAAAACAGCAATAACGAAAACTTCATTAAATTCTTTTTTTTTCTATCATCATCATCTTTCTTTTCTGAAACTGGCTCAGCAGCTGCCTCTAATCGGCTATGGATTTTCCCGTCCTGACTCAACAAAAAAATTGAGAAGAATAGGAAATGAGTAGTTAGAAAAGACAAGCCTTTGACAGCTTGTACGGTACAAGAATAAGCTCTTCTTTTCTTGGAAGGACACGTCCATCCCCGCGGAAGGGCGAATGAATGCTCGCGATAAATTCGAGCTGGAATAGGATGAGCTTAAAGCTTCGCGCTCAATCTCCACGCCGGAAAAACTCTCCCTCTCTCTCTCAAAAAAAAAAAAGATGATCGAAGTTGGATTTCTTATGTGGAGGAGTTAGACAGCGAAAGTTTAGTCTGCCTTGAATTGCTAAAAAGTAATCGAAGTGCAGGCTAGCTGGTGGGTATTAATCATAGTGGAAAACAACCTTGAGTTAAAGATAAATTAGAAGGGTCAGAAGAGACAACGCTTTTATATCCCTCTCACAATGCACTATATATATATATATATATATAAAGCAAGGAAGCAATCGTCGTTTTTAAGGTGACCCCCAAATTTTAAGCCGTTTCGTTTCGAACACACCATGGCAGAAAACAATAACAGGTCCAGGAGGAAACCGATCGAAACAGGTTGTTTTTGTGCTAAAGCCCTGTTTTGTTAAACCACATATCAACGAACGTCATTCCTCGGAGAGCCAAGAAAAAGATAACCAAGACATACCGCGAAGGAGTGTGTTGGTGATCTTTTTCTTTGGATGATTCAACAGCCGCGCGATGTGTATGACAGACTGTGGGACTTGCTGCTGGTCGAGGACATCAAGCAGCGGAAATAGTTCTATCACTGGCAAAACCTCAACAAGGCACATATTTATCATATCTGGCATGTGAAAAGGACACATACATTGAATTCCGTCATGCAAATGAAAGCACAGAAAGAGGGTATCTTTTAAATTAGTGGCGTCGTGGGCAAGAAGGCGCGATTGCACAGTCGTGTGTAGTGAATCCTCGTAATGAAATACTATCGTCGCAGTATAGAGAGTTTGTGTCAGTTACTCAGTCTTGCAACATTACCCAAATTGTCTTAAATCCTACACGAGGTGGTTCCGTTCCTGATCTGTTCTTTTCATCTCACCCCGACTGTATTTCCGCTTGTCATAACCTAGAATATATTTTTGACCACTGGGCTGTCTTTGTCGAGTCAACATTTTCTCCGGCTTAGCGCAGTGTCACTAGAAAAAAAAAAGAAGCTTTTTCTAAAAAAAAATATTCTAAGGTCGAAACCAACAATAAACTGCTGTGCTCTTTTGATCTCTTCTCAAACGATCGAATACCTGACCCTTTTTGACACACGTTCTGTGGCTGAGAACTGGGCTCTGCTTAGGGATAAAATCAGCGAAATTGTTAAGGAGTGCGTCTCCCTATTTTCTATTAAAAAGAACCTAAAACGCCCTTGGTTTAATAACCATCATAAAAAAAAAAAGCTGAACAAAAAGAAACTGCTATTTCACTAAGCCAGGTAAACAAATACTCCTGAAGTATTGTCCAAATACAAGGATAGTGAAAAAAACCTGCAAATTAGAAATTATAGCACAAGTAAGTTTACGTTTCTTAATCACGACCTTTCTAAGATGTTATTAACCAACGCTCGAAAGTTCTGGTTGGCAGTCCGGCCTAGTAATCTAAATCCCTCACCCATTATCCGGGACAATAGTGGAACCATAGTGTCACCTCATGACTCATCATCCATATTTAACTCGTTCTTTAGTTCGGTGTTCACGAACGAGTCATTTCCACTGCCATTGATGCCATGTCCTACCATAACGGGTATAGATAACGTGGCATCGACATCATGCGGAATTGCTAACGTCATCGAACGCTTGCGTGCTAACTGGGCTTGCGGAGACAATAACGCCACAACCTTTGTTGGAATGACTAAGTGTAAAATTGCCATTCCCTTCTGCCACCTTTTTCATGCATCACTCGATTCATCCGAATTACCTAACGACTGGAAATTTGCAAAAGTACTCAAGGTGTATAGAACTTTTCATTTCAGTAGTTGCCTGACCGGCGGGTAGAGGGCGCTGGTGCACTCGCCGCCATTAGGGTGCTTCAATTTGGTCGGTTTCGGTTTCAACGAGCAAGCGATTGTGATGCAGTTTCATGTTACTTTCGACTGATTTTGCGATATAAATTTCTTTCTTGTAGCACACAGCGAATGAAACAATAGTGTTGAGCCACTTGGCAGACCACGAAGGATTTTCGAGCCTAAATTGCGATCTTTCTTTAGAAACATGATGTGCGTCTGATTCCGTCCATCTTTAATTTCGGCCAGGTTCGGCGGTGAAACAACTGCGCTGATGCACAGGGAGGAGTCACATTGTCCACGCCGTACCCAAGGACACTAATTTCCAGAAAAAAAAAAAAAAAAAGAGCAGGACAAGCTCCGCCTGCAGAGTGCGCTCGTTGCCTGCAGCCGTGCCTTGGCTCTGCGTGCACCGAGCGGTACGGAAGGTAGATAGCTCGCGCTCAAGTCAGATATTGGACTGATCATCTTACATTGCAACAGACTATATTGCATCAGTGCTTAGTGAAAAAGTAGGTCGACAACATGATCAACAATCTGCTGAATCACCAAAAACAGATGAACTGACGAGTTTACTGTTCGATATCTGGTTACCGTACACCAACCTTTTCTAACTTCGAGACTGGAAAGGTCTTTTATAATGACTAGAAAAGTTTCATATAATCAGGTAGATAATATAAAAAAAGTGATATTGTCCCTGCCTGTTTTATTTAAAAAAATTAAGCGCTCGAGAAATATTTTGACAGACCAGCGTAGGCTGACTAGAAAATTTCTTTAACTAAAGTACTCATTAACAGCATTTCAAAATATTGGCCTTATGAAATAAACTTTTTGCTATATGGACATTTGCTTACGATGTTCTCAAGGTATGAGAATGGTGAGATAAGTGAATGCCAGACTTTAAATAAAGTCTGATATTCATCTTCCATAAAATTTGCCAAATGAAATTGAAGAGCGCAAAAGAAATTATCTCCGATCATTTCTTTTGCGCTCCTCAATAAGTACGATAAGTTTGGATGAATTCGAACGCCAGGCGCCACCCAATGTACCTGTGTAGAAAGCTGTTCACTTATTTGAAACGATGCGCTTCGCACATTTGGACGTCGCCAGCTGCTGAAAGTAACTGCCTGTTCGCCGTCGACAACCGGCTGCACTCAGGTGATTTTCATGCAGAAGGATTCTTTTCAGCGTCACATTTTGTGAATCATAGGCACTATCAAGTTGTCTGTGACAGTTTCTTACGCGGGG